TCAAAAAAAAAAAAAAAAAAAAAAAAGCCCGCTCTGGCTGCCACAGTGCCCAGATCGCCTCCTTTGTAGGGTCCTTTTGCCTAGAGTAAATGGGCTCAGTTTTGAAGTGGCAGGCGGGCCCAACAAGAGTCTGCTGTCGACCCTACAAAAGCATGCTCTGGCACCTTTCAAAAGTCTACTGTGTGACACTCAAACCGGACAGTTACTGCAAGCCCACTGCCTCCACTACAACGCAAACCCTCCCACAGTCACCACTAAATGACAAACCCTCAGCTGAGAGAGAGTCTGCAAAGAAGCAGCTGGAAGATAAGGAGAGAGTTCATCTATGGGCAGACCGAGAGCAAATTTCCAACACCACTCTTCTGGAGGCTAAGTAAGTGAATACTGTGGCCAGTGGAAACATGGTTGGGGTAATCCCCGACCCCTTGCAACAGCTGTGCACAATGACAAGTCCTCGGCTTCACGCTTTGGCAGGCAGTAAGGTCACAAATCAGATCTTGCTTTCGTCTCTTTTGAGTCTTTTCCTTTCACTATCTTTTTGGGGGATGGGGGGCACAAAGTCATTGTTTCTGAGTTTCTTTTTCTTACATTTGTTTGTTTGTTTGTTTTTTAATCACCTATGCTGTTAATCTTCTCTTTTGTGTGGTGCCAAGAAACCACAAGACGAGCCCCTTTTCCACCAAATAGGGAAGGCAATCGTCAATGGAAGTGCAAGCTTCCCCATGTGTCTGTCTAAGCGGGAAGCGCCCAAACGTATGTGCACTTGGACAAAAAATGAATTCGTAGACACTCACATGACAAGAGGGGGGGTCAAAAAAGCAGGCAGGCTTTCGACCACCTGTAACCACGAGACCTCTCTGAAGCACCCTGGCTTCTGGGCTTACCATGTGGTCAGAAAGCCACAAGCCCATGGGAGCACAAACTACCTCCATCCACCTATCGAAGCCTCATAAAGCCAGGCAACAGCACAGGCCTGCAGCACCAGCCACACACACACACACACACACACACACACACACACACAGAGGAGTTCTTCCCTTCTCTCCTGCTTTGAGAGAAAGGGTTTCAATTATGGTGAATATTTGGAGAGCATGGCTCTCCTGGACAGCTTGGAATGTCTAGCATACAAAAAAAAACATTTTTCTGTACTCCCGTACAAGGCGTTGTCCTCGTTTACTCCACCCGTGAATGGAATTTTTGCGGGTGTCAAGGCAAAGAAAACATGGGGTGATGGACCCTGTCGTCTACTGCACAGGAAAGAAAAACAAACAAAAAAAAAGGACTTTCTTTAATGTTCTTTTTTGCTTTTTCTGAAGGGGGGTCTTTTTTGGCCCAAGAGGCCCGTTTCGACCGTGCAGTCAGCCCGACAGGGGAAAGAGGGGGGGGAGAAGGGAACAGTATGCCCGCACGAAAGTTGGCTACACACACACACACACAGAGAGAGAGAGAGAGAGAGAGAGAGAGAGAGAGAGAGAGAGAGAGAGAGAGAGAGAGAGAGAGAAGGTGGGCACTGCCACGTGGCAGTGCACCGCTGGCACAGAGAGAGAGAGAGAGGGTGGGCACTACCACGTGGCAGTGCACCGCTGGCACAGAGAGAGAGAGAGAGGGTGGACACTGCCACATGATGGTGTGCCGCTGGCAGAGAGAGAGAGAGAGAGAGAGAGAGAGAGAGAGAGAGAGAGAGAGAGAGAGAGAGA